ATATATAGCATTCACATGCTCCTCGGATGCTCTCATTTCCTGAGTTGTGCTTCCCTTACTCTAAGGCTAATAAATGTATTTCACGATCTGGGTCATTATTTAATACAAAACAATATTTAATACAAAACCACACATAATGTTTCAACTGTATCTCTGTCAATCACTCTGATATTTATTTAAAATGAGTGAATTGACTGAGTGCTGTCTGTCACTGTCTTTAATCAGTTCTGTGAATGACTGTATGGTATGCCACATGCACTGTAATATGTTTTATATTAAATATTACATTTTCAAATGAAAATAGCAACATGAGCGTTTTATAAAGTATACGTTCATATGTGTTAAGGGCTAGATTTTCGCTGGAGGAAACAGCTGTGGTGTGATGAGGGGTGAACGCAGTGAAAACTTTACAGTAAATGGGAAACCGATTGCCCCCTCGTGACCTTTTGTAAACTGTATTTATGACAAAGAACTGCACAGATACAGATATTATAACAATCTATCGATAAACACACACCTTGTGTCCTCTGTTTCTGTTTGAGTCCGCTCGCGCTGCGCCGCCGCGGTCTGCGGATTGAAGAGCGCGCTGAAAGATGGGCAGGAGACGAAGTCTGCCGCCGTTTTTATATGAAATTTAAAGGGGACTGACTCTGAGGCGATCACGAATGTGTACAGTTTATGGAGCTAATCGCTATAGGCCCGCTAAAAATGGCCTAGCAACGCCCAGGCTTCTTACGTCCATTTCGGAGAACCAGAACAGATATTTCAATCGATCGCTCAGGCATTCAAGTGGCACCGAAATGAGGCACCGAAATCTGCGTTCTGATTCGGTTCTAGTACATACCGGTTACATAGGTACCGGTGTCATATTGGCACCCGGTTTCATTACCCAACCCTAGTTATGAATGCATGCGTGTGCACTCGCTCACCCTCCATTGAGACACCTGCGCAGAGAATATGAGGCTCCGCCTCCACAGGTACGAGAACAGTCGCTCCACGTGCCCCAGGCATCCCAACCGGTGTCCCTCTCCTCATCTGAGCGTGTCGTTCTTGAAGACTGCAAGACACAAAAACACCAACATGTACTAAAGTATACTACTTTTTTATGCCAAAACTCAAATCCCAATAAAAAATGCAGAATCCATTCTACATGGCAGTCGATTTATGACCGGGCAATTGTTGATGCCCTCTGTTGGCAAGAACAAATATTTATTTTCAATGGCTACCGTCAACTGCTTGGTTACCAACTTTGTTCAAAATATATTCTTTTGTGTTCAACCAAAGAAAGACACTCATACAGCTTTGGAACAACTTGAGGGCGAGAAAATGATGACATAATTTAAGTTTTGAATGAACTATTCCTTTAAGACCCATTCACACCAAGGACCACACTACAATGATAACGACAGAAGAGAACAATATTCTTGGAATCACTTTCAGAACTATGTATTCCAGTTGAACGATAAAAACATCAACAGCCAATCAAAATCACTCGACTTGAGCATTTAAAGAGGCAGACGACAAAACTGCAGCGCACTTATAATAAACAGTACATTATCGTGTATTGGTGTGGGTGCAAATATAGTCATCAGCAACCATTCATAGCATTCCAGTTTATTTTTCTATTATAGCTGGATGAATTTGAATAACCAGGCAACTGATGTGTTCTGCTGACAATTAAAAAGGCAAGAAATTGCATTCTAATGGCCTGTTGACAGCAAGAACGATAACTTTAAAAAAAACTATATTGGCATCCACACCAACAGACAATAACATTATGTTTATTATAAGCACAACCTGCATTTTTGTCATCTGCCATTTTAAATGCTCGAACTCTTTAAAGTCGAGTGGACTCTGATTGTCGTTCATCAGCTGAAAAAAATTTTTCACGATTGGATTCCAACGATATAGTTCCTGTTATCATTATAGTTGTGAGTTTTCTTTTAAATTTAGAACTAAAAATCTTTTTCTTCTAAATTCTAAATCTTTTTAAAAATATCTTCCTCATTATAGTTATTGTTCTTGGTGTGAACAGGCCTTCAGTTGTTCAATGATGCCCTCTACTTGTGGATCTCAGGTTTCTCCAGTTTTGCACTGAAAAATCGTATCGCTCTCAATTACGAATGTTATTGCTGGACGAACATTTTTTTTTTTCCGAAGAAAAACACATTCATTCCCCAGTATTATTTATGTTTGGTCAGCCACCTATCCACTGAGCTCCTTCACTCTTCCCACCAGTAAATCCCTCTTGGACTGACCTTGAACATTAGCTGGGCTCCCAGTGCTCCAGAATATTTCTGCTTGATTTCTTTACCCACTCAAACTCTCCTGTGTGTTGATACAATTTATAGAACAAAATATAGGCCTACTCACGTCTAGCTATGACCGACTTTTTATTTAGTGTTAAATCAATTGAAGCTCACATTTACCGAACACAACCTCCCATGTGTCTGATCTGAAAGCAACCAAGACTGTAATTAAGCAATAAGACACGAGAGACTTGCGTCGCATCTAAGAACAACCCTGTTCTAGAATCTCATTCACGTAAAATTTCAAAATGACATGTTGGGACATATAGCGCCGTTGCACTTCGGGTGTCCCGAGTTCGATCCTGGCGCATGGACCTTTCCCGATCCCGCCCCCCTCACTCTCTCCCACTTCACTTCCTGTCTAGCAACTGTCCTATCATAGTAATGGCAAAAATGGCAAAAATAAATCTTGAAAAAAAAAAGACTTGTCAAGCTTGACATCATTGATTCCATTGGTTCATAAGCATAGTGCTGTTTAAAATATGCATAATGAATGAGATTCAAGTGCTGCAGTGGAGGGCAAGATTTTCAGTAAATAACTATATATATATATATATATATATTTTTATTTATTTTTTTTGGCTTTCAAAGAAAACAAGACAGCACAGAACAACAATCGGGTGATTAACTAATGACAGAAATTTTATTTTTGGACCAATCTGTTTCTTTAAATATCTTATGCTCACCAAAAAGAGTGTACAGAAAAAAATAAAAAAAGAATAATGTGAAATATTATTCCAATTTATAACGACTGTTTTCTATCTTAATATGTTTTTAAAATGCAATTTATTCCTGTGATCAAAGCTGAATTTTCAGCTTCATTACTCCAGTCTTCAGTGTCACATGATCCTTCAGAAATCATTCCAATATGCTGATTTGGCACAAAATAAATATTTATTATTTTTATCAATGTTGAAAACAGTTGTGCTGCTTCATATTTTTGTGGAAACCATGTTACATGTTTTTTTTTTTCAGGATTATTTGATGAATAGAAAGTTCAAAAGAGCAGCATTTATTTGAAATATAAATCTTTTGTAACATTATAAAATGACTTTATTGTCACTGTTGATCAGTTTAATGCATTCTTGTTGCATAAAAGTATTAATTTCTTTCAAATAAATAAATAAATACCTTACTGACCCCAGACTTTTGAATAGCAGTGTAGGCCTCTTTTAACAAGGCTCTCTGATGGATAATGTGCAGTTGTTCTGTGGGAAAGACCGGTTTCTTTCGGCATTCTACAAATTCTTGCTCATTTTCGTTTGGAAAACGTAACATCTCTGCTTGTACAGTTCTATTACCATGAATGTGTGTGTAGAGGCTTTCTTAATTTCAGTTGTTGGACCGCAGTCCTAGTTCAACAGTCCGTCAGTAGTTGCCAATGAAAACAGACTAGCAGCGGTGGGCTTTGACTAGCTAGCCTCGAGGCACTGATGGGATGTCAGCTTTTACAATGATCTAACGGCGATCCATTTCCCTGAAGACTGAACTTTCCAGTCAAGAGAGATGCTGTAAATTGCTCTCAGATTGAATTTCAAATCCCTATTGTTTTAAAAGTTACTATCGCAGGTTCTTCCATAAGACTTCCTGACTTCTTTATGGTTTCTCCGCAGGCTCACCAGGTACAAAAGCAGCCAGTTTACTCCTGTCTCTTCTCATTACAAATCCCTGACCTGAAAATGGGACTTGAAGAGCTCACATCAATGCTTCAGAGGAGAAATCAACACTCATTTAGTGTCTACGCTGAAGCTGAGGACTGTATTGGCTAATGCTAGCTAGTGTTTAGCTTAGTTCAGGTTTCATTAGCCATGGTTGTCAAGCCATGTGTATAAACAATGGTACTCAAACAGACATTACATAGCGATAGAAATATTTAATTTTGTGCTACAGTTTAGTAAGTAACACCTTTAAATTTACTTACTAGTAAATTAAATAAATAAAATTTTACTTAATAGAGCACAACAGATATATATTGTTATTAAACCAAAAAATTAAAAAAACATAATAATAATTAAAAATTGTTTACAATAATTGAAATAAAGTTGAAATAAAATATAAATATTAAATGAGCAACTAAAACTTAAAAAGCTTTGCAAATAAGTCAATAAGTTAAAGTAATAAAATTACTAAAAGTAAAATTTTAATAAAAATTAAAATTAAAATAAATTAAATTGTATATAAAATGTATCAAGTTAAAAATAAGTGAAAACAAAAAAAATTATAAAAGTACACAAACAAATACATATATAAAATAAAAAAACAACTAAAATACCTTTAAAATATATGTATAATGTATATATGTGTATAAGTATTAAAATACAGAGGAATGGTATTTAAAAAATGTATATACCCTTTATATAATATTTTTTTTAAAAACATAAAATTAAAAAAAGCTAAATGAACTGAAAATATATATTTCATATATTTAGATTTTTTTACTTCACTTTACAATTTAATTTCAGATTAAGTATATA